AAAAAAAAATAATAATAATAATAATAATAAATAAATAAATACGGGAAGGCTGCATGATGGGCGTGGGAGCAGGGCTGAATTTGTGCTTAGATCAATTTAAATGTGAAGAGAACGCTTTCGGGATGTTCAGTGCGTTGGCAGACTCCTAAAAGAGGAAGTTATTTGAAAGTTTTGGTCATTTTCGTCCTGGATGAACGTTCGGCGCGACTTAGCCGCCTTCGACGCCTTGTTGTCGGGGTGAAGAGGTGCCACGACTGCAGCGCCAGTTGCGGCCTCTCGGTCTCAACGTAGCTTGGCCAAAATTCCCCCTTTCGATTCTGCGACAGGAAAAGCTGAAAATTGTCGTACTTGCCTGCCTGAGAGCGAGGGCGGCGCACGCGAGGATCACGATCGCCTTCCCGACCCGGCGAGCTGTGAACGCCTGCCTGAATCTCTTCACCCGAAGTCTTTCCCGTCTCCCGCCGTCCCTTTCAGCGATCTGCTTCGCGGGGAGTCCGCTGCGACCTCCTGGGGGAGCCTGGGGCGGGATGCCGCTCATCTCACGACCTCGTCTGACCTGTAGGAGGCGAATGTCTTTCTCGTCCAACAAACGTGAGTCACGCCTCGCAGACTTGTTCTCCGGGATATTCTAGCAAAATTACGAACGAAACTGACATTTCACAGTTTAAAGCACTAAATCTACATTTTAATTTTTACTATTTTAAGTCGGTCAGTTAATGCAAGTGCTTACAGTTCCACATTAATCAGTTGTTGTTTCTTATTAATTTCCGTTTAGCTGCTTTTTAAAATACGGATTCGTTTTTTTTTTATATTTTCTTTTTGTCTCAGAGAATTTTCCTCTTCCGAACAACTCATACTTTCAAGTGCAGGTCAAAGCTCTTTATTCTTTTTTAGCTCTCATTTCCTGCACATTCATTTTCCTATTCATGCTTCGATATGGGAAAAAATAATTTAGGTCGATAAGGTTTTCCAAGGAACGCATTTTTTCTTAAATCCCGCCATGAATCATGCAAAACACTTATTGAAAAAATGAATGATTCAAGGACACTCCTGAAGTGTCCATTAGGCACCCACCATGGGAACATTCGAAGGAAAGCCCTCTACCCCTACGTTCCCGGGGTTCTACCGCACTTTAATCTTATCGACATCTGCCATCACCTCGTTACGGATTCGAGGCTCTTCAATTAATGACTTCAATTAATGAATATTTAATATCCTGCTTTGAATCGCCCTCCCCGCCCTTCCACGTTCCGCAGAAGACTCCACAAAAAGTACGAGAGAATCGCCACGCGTCGAAATAATCGCGATCGTAATCAACTCCGTGCGTCCAACGGCGACCGTGAATTCAAATTCAATCCGTTAGAGATTGCCCACACAGACGACAAAAGCTCCAGTGACGTAATGGTCCCAGGTGAAACATGTTCATCATGATGACGTAAGTCCAGCGACCGCCAGGTAATAAACCCTTGCAATGCACCCGTTCTAAAGGATATGTCCAACGGGCGCGGGCGTCATCAGGCTTTGGCAGCGCTTATTACCTTTCTTCAACCCCTTCCCGCAGCAAAATTCAACCTCCTCGTATTCCTCTGTGAGAGAATCAGCAGAAACGAAATTCGGCGCATTTCTTCTTCTCTCCACAAGGAATAGCTCCAGCAAATTTGAAGCTCCATCTCCCCGGGGTTCTGGAGAACGCTGAATCTCACTTTTCGAAGATGTGAATTTCATCCCTTTTTTATCCCCCCCCCCTCCTCGTATGCCACCTCGCACGAAGATTGCAAGAGTGCCTGTCAGCATTCTATGATATCTCTCTCCTGTCTCTATAGCACTGTTCGCAACGACATCTCTATTGTGAA